TGACCCAAGCCATGGCATTTTCAATAACCTCATATGCATGCAAAAGCTGGACAGTGAATAAGGAAGACTGTAGAAGAATTGATGCTTTTGAATTATGGTACTGGAGAAGAATGTTGAAAGTGCCATGGGCTGCCAAAAGAACCAGTAGATCCATTTTGGAAGAAGTGTATCCAGAGTGCTCCTTGGAGGCCAAGATGGCCAAACTTCGTCTCTCATACTTCGAACACATTGTCAGGAGGGACCAATCCCTGGAGAAGATTATCATGTTTGGTAAGGTGGAGGGTCAGAGAAAAAGAGGAAGAACTCCAAGGAGATGGATTGCCAAGTGGCAGCATCGATGGACTCAAGCATGGCAACAGTAGTGAGGTTGGCCCTGGATGGGGCAGTGTTTTGTTCTGTTGTGCATAAGGTCGCTATGGGTCCATATCAACTCAAAGGCACCTAACAACAACAACAAACAGGACAAAGCAGATATTCAGAGCTACTAGATTAACAAGATAATTTGAACTAGCTATCAAAGAGGTCAAGAATACTTTCAGAATTACTAAATAAAAGTGATTACTTTTATTCATTTTTTTTTTTTTTTTTAATCTTGTCGAGTTGGTTCCAACTCACAGTGACCCTGCAAAGGATTTCCAAGGAGCGGTTAGTGAGTTTGAACCACCGACCTTGTGGTTCAAACTGACCTTGTGGTCTGGTTCATTATCCTGCAGCATCTCATCAGGACTCCTTTTTTAAATCAGTGGTGGTAGTTAGTGGTGGTGGTTTTATGCTGTGGAGTGGGTTCCGACTCAGTGAGGCTGCTGCGGAGAACTGTTGACTTTGAGATTAGCAGCCAGACTCGTAACCACTATGCTACCAGAGCTTCTTTGATTGTTATAAAAATTTCTTTCCATATAATTATAGAAAATATATATGTATCTCTTGAGTATGTAAATTTCATGCATTGTATAATTTAAGCATAAAGTAAATGTAAACATATATTACATAAAATACATAGAATAAACTTATTAAAAGAGTCACAAGTACATCACACTTAAAATATTTTGCAGATTTGTGAGGCTGGGAATCATTTCATCAATGTAGTGCTGGCTCATTCCAATCATACAGGTTAGTTTCTTTTTCTTCTTTATAGTAAATTATGTTAATTATCATTTTGTAAATATTTAAATCAATAATTTTAAAGGAAATTGGTGCTAATTGAAAACACTTTAGACAGTATGTTCTAATTCTTACCTTTTTATGACTGCTTTACAAATATTTGAGACTATATTCCCTAAAAATGATTTTTCTATAATTAAGTCTCTCTTTGTCTCACAAACACACAAAACAACTGTGAATAACTCTGTCACTTAAATATATGAAAAAACTCCAAATGTTTAAGCATTAGAACAGTATTAATTCTGTCATTCAATATATAAATTAATTAGATTAACTTTCAATTTTAACCAAATTCATTCAGTAATTTATAAAAAACAACAATATTTCAAATTATTTCTAAAATGTTTCTTGCTACACATTGTATAACATTATGATGACTATTCAAATTTTGAAGTATTAAATACTATATTCAGAATCTGATTATCTAAACAAACTATAATATGACTTGAAAATATTTGCACTATTGCTTTGTTACAAAAATATCTACTGGAACTTCTAATTGTTTTGTAGTTTGTTTTCTGAATTTGTATTGAAGCAAATACCTTATTTCATTAATAGATAAAACATCATTTTATCTGATCCATCTTCATAGGTTCATTAAGTGCTATACTGGAATATATTGAGCTCCAGACAAAGAAAAGCCATCTCAGGTGGTCAAATATATGTAGTGTAGAAGCAAATACAATACTGTCTTACAACATAGCCAATGTTACACAAATCACAATATCAGTTTTGGTTTTAACTAACAATCTGATGTTGTTCAAGCTTCTTCATCTACCTGAAATGTGGTGTTCTGATTTGAGGATGAAAATTTGAATGTGTCAAGTGATTTTCCAATTATTCATATAGGAAAAAAAATGTTTTAAAAACGCTTTACTTATTTCTTTCTGCCCTTTCCTATTGCAATAGAAAAATCAGATACCTATAAAACTCCTCTTTTGGTAAAAGCCTTTTGCCTGGAGGTCCAGAGGACTGATCTTTACTGTTAAAATCTATCCGTCTTTATAAGGAGCTCTAGTAGAATAGTGGTTATGAGTAGAGCTGCAAATCTCAATGTCAGCAGTTTGAAACTGCCAGTCCTCCTGTGGGAGGAAGATGAGGCATTCTGCTCCTGCATAGATTTATAGCCTCAAAAACCCTATGCAGGGTCACTATGAATTAGAAATAACTCCACGGCACACTGCCACCATTGTACAGGGAGCACTCATGAGTCTATGCCAAGGAATTTAGAAGACAGCTTACCTGGTGGACCAATTCAACTGTGTACTAGATACATATTTGTGCCCATTGCAAAGAAAAGTAACCAACAGAATTCAAAAATTGTCAAACAATATCACCAATATAACGTGCAACTAAAATTTTGCTTTGTTGATGTTGATAAGTGCCGAGTCAATTCTGCAGGGTTTCCGAGGAGCAGCTGGTGAATTTGAACTGCTGACTTTTTGGTTCAAAAATCCAGTGATTATGTTATAGTGCCAACAGTTGCAATGCTCCATCAGCAGGACACTTAGAATATCAAGATGGATTCAGTAAAGGAAATCAAAGGAGCAATATTGTTGTTAATGTCAGATGGTTCTTGGCTGAAAGTGGAGAATATGAGAATTATATGTATTTCTGCTTTATTGTCTGTGCAAAGGCATTCAACTATGGGGCACATAACAAACTATGGATAACATTACAAAGAATGGGAATTTTCAGAACCTTAATTGTGCTTATGTGGAATCTGTGCATAGGTAAAAATTAATTTTTTTTTCAAAAAGAACAGTGTGATAATGAAGGGTTTAAAATCAGGAAAATTTGATGTCAGGGCTACATATAATTTTCCACTATAATTATTGAATGAATCTGTATGCTGACCAAATAATCTAATAAACTAGATTACCTGAAGAAGAATATGGCATCAGGAATGACGAAGGCTAAATAATAACTTGCAATATACACATGACACAATCTTGCTTACTGAAAATGATAAGGACTTGAAGTACATACTGATGACAATGAAAGTTTACAGACTTCACTATTCATTACTACTCAGTGTCAAAAAATCAAATATTCTCACAAGTGGATACCCCATCAGGATAAATAGAGACAATGTTGAAGTTTTCAAGGATTTCATTTTCTTGAATGCACAATTAAAAATCATAAAGCCAGCAGTCAATTCATAAAATGACATATTGCATTGGGAAAATCTGCTTCAAAAGGCCTCTGTAAGTGCCAAAGAACAAAGATGGCACTTTGAGGACTAAATTGTGCCTGACCTAAGCTATGGCATTTTCAATGACCTCATATGCATCTGAAAGCTGAACAGTGAAAAGGGTAGACCAGAAAATAATTGATGTAATTATTACGAATTATGGGTTGGGTGAAAAATATTGAATATATCATGGATTGCCAGAAGACCAAACAAATATGTCTTGGGAGAGCTGTAGCCAGAATGTTCCTTAGGAGTGACTAAGGTGATATTTCATCTCAAGTACTTGGGCATGTTATTAGGAGGAACAAGCCCCTGGAAAAGGATATCATGCCTATAAAGTAGAAGGTCAACAGAAAATGGAAAACTCTCCATGAGATGGATTTTCATAGTGGCTACAAGAATTCTCTCAAATATAGCAATTGTGAGGATGACACAGGACCAGGCAGTGTTTAGTTCTGTTTTACATGGGGTCACTATGAGTTAGAACACACTGAAGAACACCTACCAAGTTCTACACATCTTTTACCCAAAAACCGTTCCCTTGAACTAACAGTATGAGGGATATGGACTCATATAATAGGATTGACTGAAGTTCTAAAGGTAACAAAGAATAAAAGATTTCAAGAGTTTCTTATGAGTAATATTTGTGGCAACTGTCAGAATAGATGTGATCAAAAAAACTCAACTTGCAAATAGGTGACTAGTTAGATTCCATAATGGTGCCTAATTATGTTTTACTATTATTCTTTATCACTAGAAGACTGGACCCTTGTCTCCAGCATTAGCTAGGTTTGTTTGGTAAGTGAAAACTAAAGTGATTGAACTAAAGGAAAACTTCTATCTTTGCCAACATGATCCAATTATAAACATATTTTACCACCACCAGGGTAGTCCTGGTGTTATGCTTTAGAATAAACAAGTTCAGTTTGAACCTCAAGATTGGTCCGTCAAACTCACCAGCTACTTCTCCCAAACATTATAGAGGGTTGCTATGAGTTGGAAGCAAATCAATGGCACTTAATGACAACAGGAAGGGTAGTCCACCAAGTCCTGGTGTGGTGCTGTAGAGTAATCACTGTACTACTAACCAAAAAGTTGGTGATTCAAATCCATCAAAAGCTCCTCAGAAACCCTATAGACTTGCTATAGGTTGGAACCTACTTGATGACTCTATGACAGTAGCAACAAAAGGTATTTGATGGTAGTCTGAATCCTGTCAATTGGCTGAATCCTGCCTTTACCTGGCATTTATTGACACTTCCATTATAGCTGCTCCTTGTTGAGTATTAACATATAATAGAATATTTTGAAATTCCATGTCCACTCTTATATGTCCATTATTGTTGTTTATTGCCATCGAGTTGGTTCTGACCCACTGTCACCCTGTATAAGATTTAAAGGATTTAAATTAAAGATTTAAAGGTTCAAGCTGGGGAGCTTGAACCGCCAACCTTGCAGTTAAAACCTATTTTGCAGTCCCAATTGACTTTGTAGTGCATTAACCCGTAGTGCCACACCAGGACTCTTTATTCATATTTCCAGAGATAAACTAAAAATCCCTGGCATATTTTTCTATTTATCTGTGTCTCAGACCTGTATATGGAGTCTTGGTATGGTGCTGTGAATTAATACACCAGACTGCAAAACCATTTGAACTGCAAGGTCAGTGGTTCAAGCTTATCACTTGCTCTTCTGAAACCCTATACAGGGTCGCTAAGGATTGGAACTGACTTGACGGCACTTAACAACCACAGCAACAGGCTTGCATATACTGTAATCTTTGATAACTCCAGAAGGTCTGTCTTTTGAGAAGACTGTTTTCCTCACATTGTCTTTTAGGGTCAATCCTGAATGTGACTATAATTAAAGTACAAAGCATGTTTTGGCTTAAATCTATATATCACTGGCGGCTGCCAAGGCAGAGTCTGGTAGGATAGGCTCCTTGGGGGAAGAATTGAAAACCCAGAAAATCTGCTCTCATGGAACAGCACCAGAGCTCTGGATGAAGGGTGTTAGTTTCCCACACACACCAGTGAAAAAATCATGGTATAAAGGAAAATACCATGATTTAATAATCACTATAGGCTTCTAGACTTGGGACTGCCTCTGTAGCCACCCTTCTTAGGTGGAGTTCAGTGGGTGGAGCTACAGCCAGACAGGCAAAGGGAACTGGTGCTAAAAGTGGTGCAATGGCATTTGCAAAAGGAAGTCGGGGGGCGGGGTGGGGGGGAATCTACACATTTTTTCCTCCTCTTCCCTGTCATGCCACCTTTGCCCAGGCCGGACACCTTCATGTGAGTGGGTGCGCATCCCCAGAAAAGGGGTTCAGCACTGAGCCCACAGTATTTCCCATGGCACATAGAGAAAGAGCCCTATTGGACCTAAAGGAAAATTCTTTGGTGGCTGCCTATGACATCAGCCTCTGGGTCACAGCCCTAAAATTTACTTGTGAGGGACAATTTACTCCAGCATATCTGACAAGAAAAAAGCAGGACTGTCAGGCCTGAGAGGCAAACCATATGAAAAATCTGTAAAACCCCAACATAAAAGGATGCAACTATCTCCAGAATTACATTGCGCAAACGCAGATACCTAACTGACCTTCAGAGAGAAAAATAGTAGACAACCCTTTCCCATTAACTTCTCAATATTGATCTATGCACCTCTGCAGTGGTGATTAGAGGACGGGCCTAAGTGAGTGGAAACCCCCACCCAATGCTGGAGGCTTCTACTCTGCACACACACACTGACTGTT